TGGTGTCTGTCTGTGTAATAATAACTGACACTCGTGTCATTCATGTTTATTTTAGAATTTACCGGAGATCATTTTAATAACCTGTGAAAATGACTCCCATCTGTGTCGAGAGTACTTCCTGAAGAACATTGGTAAGAGGGCATATCCTTCAGGCCCAGTTCCCATCTCAACATTTACATTGCTCTCTGTATAATATAAAACCACTGTATAATATAAAACCACTGTAGTAGGAAAATGTAACATGTACACATTTCAATCAGCCATAAGTCTAATTATTTTTTGATGATGTCTTCAATTCAGATGTTTACACTGCTGAGCTCATATTGACGGGGGTGTTGACTCAGACCTTGGATTATGAATCATATCCTTTTAAAATGCATGCAAGATTTAACAGACACATGAAACAATCACTTTTGAATGATTTCTGAATAGAATGAAGCAAGAACTGTTTTGTGTAATTAACCTTTGTTAAAGGGGTCATATGATGCGATTTCAATTTTTCCTTTCTCTTTGGAGTGTTACAAGCTCTTGGTGCATAAAGAAGATCTGTAAAGTTGCAAAGACTAAAGTCTCAAATCCAAAGAGATATTCATGCACAATGCTTTTGTTTCGGAGTTTAACATACTGCATCAGGAACTGCTTACAACTGTATATCTGCACTACATAGCTCAATACATGAATCCATTGAGGTGCTTCTTTATGTAGCTACAAAAACCTTAAAGCTATAGTCGTGTGTCCATCTTTTTTACTCAACACATTCATCGTTCATGATTCTTTGGTGACAAAATGTGTTTTTAATCTTTGGCTATCTGGATATGTTACAGTAAATAAGCTCTAGCAGAAGATTGAGAAGCATAAACGTGATTTTCCTTTCTTTAGAGGCACAATAAATAAGGTTACAAGGAAATTGTAAGCAAACAGCAGTAGCTTGAATAGCTATCGCAGCCTTCATAATTTCCTCTCCAATTGACACTCGTTAATTGCGATGAATTAAAAATGCAAATTAGTGACCAGATCTTTGATTAACTTACACAAGTTCCTTGTTGGTTTGTTAATGTCCTCAAAGATGTATGCACAATGCTTTTGTTTCGGAGTTTAACATACTGCATCAGGAACTGCTTACAACTGTATATCTGCACTACATAGCTTAATACATTAATCCATTGAGGTGCTTCTTTATGTAGCTACAAAAACCTTAAAGCTATAGTCGTGTGTCCATCTTTTTTACTCAACACATTCATCGTTCATGATTCTTTGGTGACAAAATGTGTTTTTAATCTTTGGCTATCTGGATATGTTACAGTAAATAAGCTCTAGCAGAAGATTGAGAAGCATAAACGTGATTTTCCTTTCTTTAGAGGCACAATAAATAAGGTTACAAGGAAATTGTAAGCAAACAGCAGTAGCTTGAATAGCTATCGCAGCCTTCATAATTTCCTCTCCAATTGACACTCGTTAATTGCGATGAATTAAAAATGCAAATTAGTGACCAGATCTTTGATTAACTTACACAAGTTCCTTGTTGGTTTGTTAATGTCCTCAAAGATTTATGATGTTGATGCTCTTGTACCATAAAACATCAGGAGACACAATAATTAATCTTAAATGCTAAAAGGACTTGTTTTAATTACTCTTGTTCTCCTCTCTATAGCATTGTAGCATTTGGACTCCTCACTTCTTAATGGTAAATGTATTATAATATACAAATTACATGCTAATTAGATGGTGTAAAGCTTAGGGATTCAATCATTCTAAGAATTTGCATATGAACTAATTATCTTTCATTAAAGCTAGCTAATTACAAATTTGAGGAGGACCTGGAAACGGAAAAAGCAGCATTCCTTTGTCCAGACAGTGTTTTCATCTCTAATTAGACGTTGGATTTTTTTATCCCTATACATTTGGAAAAATTTATAAAATCTGAAAACTAATTTATATAAATAATTTTTTTCATTTATTAGAAATGCCCTGAGTCTCATGGTGCTTAGTATGTGAATGGCAACAATAAAACTAGTGCTTTAAGCAGACGATCGACTGCACCATGTGTCTGAACAGGTACACTAAATTAATTTTTTAAGACTGAATTGAACTTGGCATTAAAAGTAATGCATATCTAAGCGCCGAGGAGAAGTCCAAATTAATAGATGTGCCAATCATTTGTCTCAGAGGAGTTTTGCTGTCCACATAATAGATATGACTCTTAAATCAATCAGGTATTAATTGCTTTCATGTCTCATATAATGAAATGACTGCTAAGGGGCATAGGCACAGTTCTAAAATGGCTTTTGAAACCCATTTTTAAAGACTTGTGTTTAAGATCCCCACTTCAGTTTATCTGATATCTCAATATAGCCGTTCTTAAATTGTTACTTAAAGGTCTGTAACAGTAATGGGCTACTCTGGCAGCATCACATCCAAAGTATATTATAGTAAGGCATATTACTTCAAGTGGTAAAAAAAAATTATTGTCAGCTGCTGGGATTTTGTACAGGTCAGTATTTTTTTTACTGAGTCAATATTTTTTCCAAAGTCCACCTATGCCAAAAAAAGCAAGATTACAACAAATACGAAATGAGCAATTAATAAATATTAAAAGGTTCTTCCAATTGAGCTTTAGATTATTACAGCATGTCTCTTTTCTGCAAGTCAGTGCTGCCCTCTGCAGTTGAATACTGAAGTGATAGAAACTGGAAGTGCTGTCATCAGTTTTCAAATGGTTTAATCAGGCCTTGAAACGGGTTAAACTGATTTATGTTTGCTAGAGAGACAGGTGTGATGTTTTAACATTTGCTTTGAATCCTGTTCTGCATCCTTGCTTAAAATATGTATTTGGCAGACATTTCACACATTCACATACATTTAAATAAAAACACAAAAAAAATTAATTACGATACACTGGAAGCCCTTTATTTGATAAACATCTCCGGCGAGCATTTTCTTCCAAACACTTTTTTTGTACAATTTATACAGTATTACAAAATCAGAGGTAATATTTACAGCATTTACCTTTGCAGTATCCATGGTTAAATATCTGAAAAGCATGCATAGGATTTAAATTTGGCATTTTAAAATATTATTTTCATAGCCAATCTTTTTGAGAATAATATTTAGCAATTTAGCATGTAAATCACTATATTGTTTGGCATTTGACATGAGCTACTTGAAGGAGAACAAGAATAAAGAAACACAAAACTAGGCTACTGAACCACTACGGTGGTTGCACATCATCCACTCACACTACTCTATATACACCTTTGTTTTAAAATGAAAAACACAACTTTGGTTTTATGGCAAAACACTACAAACTGCATATTGTTAAAACTGGCAGTGCACTAGAGGCAAAAAAAAACAACAATTCAGATTAAATTTGGTTAAATCCTTTTCAAACTGTCAAATCAATCACCTCACACCTGTTAAAGCATTTCTGATATATACAGAGCTGGGCTCCAAAAGTCTGAAACATCTGGTGGAACTGCATTTTTAATATTTAGTACACCATATTTTACATAAAATTATAATAATTAAAGTTTGTCTAAAACCTGATAATCATGTTCTCTAGCATGATTTGCTATGATCAATAGAGCACCTTGTGCTTCAACAGAAGCATGAACATCTGATAATGTGTACAAAGTTACAAATTTGCTTTGTTGACCCAGTCATTTGCTTCTAATGACCCAGAAGAATAGCAGAATCCTACTTTTTTTTTGTAAAAACCCTTAAAGGAGTCATATGATGCGATTTCAACTTTTCCTTTCTCTTTGGAGTGTTACAAGCTCTTGGTTCATAAAGAAGATCTGTAAAGTTGCAAAGACTAAAGTCTCAAATCCAAAGAGATATTTTTTATAAAAGTTAAGAGTCAACCACGCCTTCCTAAAACGGCTCGTTCTAACACGCCCCCACATGTCTATGTCACGATGTGGGAATATTTGCATAACGCCACCCAAATGTTCACGCAAAGAAAGAAGGTGTAACTTTTATTCTCGCTGTAGTATTGTTGTTGCCGCCGCCGCCATGTCGTGAAGACGCTGTGTGTTTCGTTGTGAAAGCGAAACTACTTTGTTTGGCCTTCCAAAAGAGGACGATATCTGCTTCGTCATGCCTAGAGCTGATCCGTGCTGGTCGCTGAGGAAATACATCACCTTCGCGCTGTGGATCGCCGGATCGGCTTTCACCGTGGACGAAGCGGAATCTAGCCCGGGGTCGTCACATGTGGTTGCCGCAAGCACGCCGGCCGTTCCTCAATCAAGTCCGCCGGCCTCCGCTCACTCAAGCCCGCTGTGTGTTTCATTGAGAAAGCGAAAATACTTTGTTTGGCCTTCCAAAAGAGGACACGACTAGAAATTAGTGGTTAAGTTGTATTTACAACACTGTTCCAGAACAGTTCAACCCAAATATTCAGATGCGTGCAGCGCATTTTATGGAGGACTGTTTCCTGATCCTGGGAGAGTAGACTACAATGCCGGCTGTTCTGACTCACAGACTGTAAGTACGTTTTCATATTTAAAGAATTTGCCACTGATGATTCAAACGTGAGTTTTGAGCAGTGTAGGGTAACACTTGTTGTTTGTCATTTCTCTGATCACAAATGCAGACATGGTTTTATGTTTACGCGGCGCGATGCAACACGTAAAAACACAGTACAAGTCATTATAATCCATAATTATGTCCCCACTGGATGCAACAAATGGCTCGTTTATAATGGGTTTTAATGTTTTTGTCTCGTTGCGCCGGGACACGGCATCACAGTATGGAAAGGGGCGTAACATTTCCGTCACACGCTTGAGGTATTCGGCCAATCACAATGCACTGGATAGCTGGCCAATCACAGCACACCTCGCTTTTCAGACCGATGAGCTTTGTAAAAAATCGACGCGTTTCAGAAAGGCGGGGCATAGAGGAGAAACAATAATGTACAGTAGGAAAATGTGGAAAATAATGTGTTCATTTAACCTTAAACCACATAAACACATTTCATAACACCAAATACACAAAATAATGTTCTTTTTAGCAACATCATATGATCCCTTTAAGAAAATCCTAAAACAAAACAAAAAAAGATTTTATCAAGGTTCTATGAAGGTTTTGTTTTCATCACTACAGTCTTTTGGATCCCACTAATATACGGCTAAATGCATATTATACATAGTTCATGTAAGTAAACAAACGCACTTCTATAAAATAAAAAGCCAACACTGTCAAGCTTAATCCCTCACATATACCAAAACAAAATCCAAAATATGCGGCTCTGAACCACTTGTGGATTTCAGTGGAAGTGCACAAAGACAATAACACCACCCCAAATACACAGCATAACTAAATCATTATTTCTGTTACACCTTAAATACCACCAGACTGAGCAAAAGAGAGAAATGGACAGCTCATGCCATGTTCCCAGTAAAAGATGCTGGTGTGATAGTGGCTTGGCCACTGCTGGCCTTCAGAGACATGCGGCTGCTGAAGCTGGGCATGTGTACAGCTCCACCTCCCCGGCACATGGCAGTGGGAGACAGGAGGGATGGAGAGGAAGGGGATGAAGAAGAGGAAGTAGAGGTCGGAGAGACAGAGGAGGAGGAGGAAGAGTATGAGCTAGAGGATGAGTAGGAATAGGAGCAGGACTGGCCTTTTTGAGTCTGCGGAGGGAGGGTTAGGTTTTGACCTTCAGGCCGCTGAGAGGGCGAGACGGGTCTACAGCTAGGCCAGCTCAGGCTGAGACATGGGATAGAGGACTTAGAAGAAGAGGAAGAGGTTTGGTTAGTAAGCCTAGAACGAGCAGCACGGGTTGAGCTACACTTCCATGAGCTAGGTATAAAAGCTGGGATCTTAGAAGCAGGCAAAGCAAGGAAAGCATGTTTACTATTCCCACCAGCTTTCATAGCACTCCCGTTAGCCTGTGAACAAAGATGCCGGAAGACATGGAAAGTCAAGTAGGATGATAACACATATACATGAAAATATAGAGCTCTATATGCCATAAAAATATTCTACAGTACAACACCAACAAAAATATTACTCTTGTAACAAAAGGTATAATTTTGTTTTTTTTCTCTCACAGTCAATTTCACACATTAAGCAGTAAAGAGAGAAGGAATAAAAGGAGGAATTTGGGCACCAGGTTCTTCAAAATATCTTCATAATCCAAAGAAGTGGAAAAATAAACCAGCACTCCCCAACTAAAACAGTAGTTCCTAGTGTTTGCTCTTACGATTGACTGTTGGATAACAACAATCATGCAGTTTTCCTGTATAGCTCAATTGGTAGAGCATAGTGCTAACAACAGCAAGGTCGCAGGTTCGATTCCCAGGGAGCGCAAGGGTTGGTAAAAAAAAAAAAAAAAAGACGCATATCTTGAAAGTGTCTATGTGTAAATGATAAACATGCACAAGGAGTTGGTTGCGATGAATTGTAGGGGAAGAAAGATCATCATATCATCATACTCAAAGACTTTTCCCATCTGTCTTCATGCCTTAACACTGCCCTACAGTAAAACTACCTGACGGAATTGCCTCTGGGAGTCCTGGAGCTTTTGAGGTTTTCCGGGTTTTTCCACACTCCCTGCTGGCTGCTGGCGAGACTTGGGTGAGGAAATCCGACTCGAAGCAGACGAGTCACCAGAGTTCTGCAAAGATCAATAAGGAAACAATGTCAGCAAAGGATCGAGGCGCTTGACAAGTACACGACAGAATGAGGAAAAAGCTTTTAAAGATTTCTCATTTGTAGACATGATTGGGAAGAGAAAGATACAGGCAGCATGCTCAAGTGTACCACCAATATCCCAACCACAGTACATGCACTTTATTAATCCCAAAATAGATCAGAGCGAGACGCTCAGAGAGAAAAACGGTTTGTGGATTCAACCTCATTGAAAGTCGGAATAGTGAAAGTAGACAGTGGTTTAAAAGAGAAAAACACCAAGTCCATAATCATGTCCACTGAAATCACACAGAGCCCCCAAAACAGAGTGTTCCCAAGTGCGTTCACCCGAAGACACCTATGAAACACATTCAAAGTTGATTTAAGTCATTGGTTAGAAAGTCAGGCCACCAGCAGAAGGGTGCAAAGGAGTTGAGAAAGACCTGTTTACTGCTGGAGGAACTGGAGGAAGTGGACGTGCTTGAGGAGGATCGAGACTGTGTTTTGGATCTCTTTTGCAGAGATGACTTGTGGGGTTTGGGCTTCAGAGGTGCTGGCTTTTTTGTGGGACTGCCCTCCTCCGGTTCTGCATCACTGGCCATTCTCTTCGCTTTTGATTCCTCCTTGCGGGAGACTTCAGAAACCAACGTAGGCCCAATATCACTTATGGTGTTTTCTAACTGCTTTATGGTCTGCTCAAGGCTGTCTAATGTTTGATAAGTAGTCTTACGGAGTTCCTCAGTTCTGTCTTTGGTGCTCTGTGATGTGGTGGTCTGGTTTTGCGACAAAGATCTAGGGCTGGTAGAACCAGAGTCTGCGTGGGACTTGATCTCAAACCTTTTAGCTTCTTTGAGCTCCGTCACGGTTCCATCTGGTTCCTCTTCATCCTCGTAGACAACTACCTGCAGTGTCTTTTTGCCAGTTTTTGTCCCCGTACGAAGAGCCTGACCAATAGCTGCAAGCTGCTTCTTTGGGAACTTAAATTTGAATTTCTTTTTCGCATCTTTAGGAGATTCTGTCTTGTCTCCTTCTTCAACGGTAAGAGCAGGACTCTCAAAGGAACTCTGCTGTTGTAGAGGCACTGGAACACTACTACTTCTCTGACTGTTTACACTATTCTCAGTTCTGCACTGATCTAGATTACTTCTAGGTGTTATCTGACCGACCTGACTGTTTGAGTTGGCTTCCACTTCCTCCTCGTTCTCTTCATCTATCCTCTCCTCCGATAGCACCCTCTCCAGCTCTTCTTCACACTCAAAGACGGTGGACAGTCGCTTGTAGGCCTGACAGATATCCATAGGCTCGTCAAAAATGATGATAACCGGCTTCTTGTCAAATCCAGAGTCCTCGGGGGCAGATAGGGTTGGTTCTGAGCCCACTTTAAGAGTTTGGACATCTGTGCCTTTACTGTTTACCAGCTGTTGGTACTCTCCAGTTGATAGAGCCTGTACCTTGGTTTTAGTGATCCTGAAGGCAATGTTATTTGGTGGAGGAGGACCTTCTTCTCCTGGGAGGTCTGGACTTAGACTGGCCTCCTCAGTGTATCTGGCCTGATCTTCAGATGATCTCTTTGTTACATTCTGCTCATTGTCATGGTTATTCGGTTGTGTTGAAAATGAGGCTTCAGTGTTGGGCTGATGGACTGGTGAGTGAACCTGAAGTTCAGCACTTTGTAGACACTTGCTAACAAGTGTAACTTGAACAGTGGTTGTGCGATGCCCATGCTTTATTGACTTATCCAGAACAGGTGCATCAGAGGATGTACGCAGTATCTGCTGCTCTAACTTCTCCTCAACAGGTGAAACTTTCTCTGAAGGGGTGGGAACCACCTGCTTTAGGGACTTCAGCACTGATTCAGTCTTGAACTCTTTGGGATTAATGAGCGATGCCCCTTTTTCAGCTTCTGTGCTGTTCCTTAAAGAGTTAAATGGGCCAGATGGCACTTCATGAATATTATTTAGCTTGCTTTGGACCTCCTTGACTGATTGGCTTGTCTGAAGTGAAATTACAGATAAGTCATTTGATTTTAACCATTTTTGCTGCTGGGAAAGGTCAGAAGCATTCTCAGGTGCAACCTTTGAAGGAGAAAAAGTTGCTTCCTTGGGTTCCTTTAGGTCATCTGGCCTAGAGGTGCTCTGCCTTGATGTTTTTGTTCCAGTGATATAATACATGACCTGACAAAGAAATCAAGAATTCTTTGGACTTCAAACAACATATTAAAGTCAAAGTGAATACAATGTGTATACATGCTCTTAAATCACACATAAAACTAATGGAAACAGTAAAACAAATGATATTTACCCCAGGTGAACCAGGTGTTGCACTATATTCCCTACTTTCAGATAGTGCTCCTTCTTCAGATAGGTGAGAGGTGGTCTGCTAAGACAGTTTGTTAGCACAGAGACCTTTATTTACATTCTCAAATTAATATATCCAGCTAGTCGGTACAATGCAGAGCGAAACATTACAAAGGAGATCAATGGCGCCATCTAGAGTTTAGTTTCGCTTTCATCCTTAGTTTACTAAGGACTGCTATATGTTGTCAAGCATTGCTTCAAAATAATGTATTTATGGTGAGGGAGCAGTGAAACTGTATGCATAGCATTTTCCATGCAAAGATGTTTGATGGTGATAGAGTTTGCTGGAAAACACATGCTTCATTTTTTTGGTTTATTTTTAAACATAATATTTTAATGGAGAAAGTGACTTGTATCTAGTCTTTGTATAGACACTCAAGAATATAGAAATATCATTCCTGTTTTGAAAACCCTGGCACTGTTGGTCTGTAGGACTAAAAATATTATAAATACTAAAGTTAAACACAAATATATACATTTATTGCACATTAAAACATGCATAGAGATGAAAATATTATATATCCCTTATATGTTTGTAGAGCCCAAAACATCACTTTAAAAAAAAAATATATATATTTAATAAAAAAGTATTAAATATTATTTTTTAAAATATTATTAATATTACAAACATGTATTTTTTTTATAAAATATTTTACATATTTTAGTTATATTTACAAAGCAATAATATTATATCTTTATATCTCTTTATGGTGGACATTCTGGTCCTTTTTCAAAGTGAACTCTGAATGCTAAAAAAGGAAAAGGTCAGAAGTCAGAGCGCTGAATGGCCTTTCCAACACTCCAGTCACTCTGACCCAGCCCATCTTCTACAGCTGTATCTATTAGCATTCAGCAGGAGAGTGTGAGTGACAGACCAGTGTTAGACACATTCAAACGTATTACGCCCTCTCTTGATGAGGGGCTACTGTCAGGCATTGACGTGCATCAGTATGTCAGTACATCAGTATGGGTGATGCGTATTAGTGTCAGTAGAGCGGGAGGTTATGGGACTTGACTGCTCATGTGAGCAGTTGTTAAACTGCGACAGGGAGTTAGCACACATCACGTCCGTTACCTTTGTGTGGTAAGACAGGGAAAGCCCAGGCTCCATCTCAATGTCTGAGGGCTTACGGGATGTGAGATCAACAATATATCTGGGCTGTAAATCTTTTTTTGTGCACTTCTGAAACACCTGAAGAGGGGTAAGGGTATGGGCATTAGGTGCTGCGGCTGTGTATAGGTGAGCTTTCTGTCCTGTGGTTGTGCAATTTTGAGATGTCAAACAGAAATGAACTGAACTGTTTTTTTCTCAGAACTCATTTCACTTTTCATTTTTACAATCTAATAATAAAGTAATTTTACATATACTTTATTTCATTATAAGCCTATATACACATATTCATTCAGGTATATTCATTCATGTAAATGTATAATCATTCATTCATTTATAACCACTATTCAATAATGCTGTTGCACAACAAATGCATAATCCTATTTACACTACTTAGTCTTTTTTAACTTTTTGAGTAATTTATTATATATATTATTATGGATTTTATCTCTTTGATTATATTTTTGTAGAGCATTTTATTTCATTTTTTTTCGTTTTATTTTATTTAGTTTCTTATTGGTTTAAAAGACTTGTATTTTTTGAGCTATTTTTCTTTAAAATAAATTGCACCTGGTTTCCTTTAATATTTTGTTAGCTAATACAATGACATTCATACATTTTTCAGTGTGACGTTTACAAACACTTTCTGAGGCCACTCTACGCTGTTGATTTATTACTTTTATTCCTAATAAAAATAAAATCGAATTCATGATGACACAGATTTATAGTAAATCCTACCCATTCTCAACAATAGAGGGCAGCACAAGTCAAACTTCTGAGAGTGCCCTCATTTTGATGCTTCCATGTAAATGTTGACACTGGTGTGGCTGTTTGAAGTTTGTAGGGGCTCAATATTTGTCCCTTAACACCCCTGACATGTCTCAGACGTCCTGTGTGTTTGTAAAAGAACAAGTGTGTGTTTATGTCTTTGTGTGAGTGTCTCCTGTGAGGACGATGGTGGTTTGCTCACCTGTAGCTCAGCCATGATCTTATCTCCTTCATCCTCTTCATCTTGTAAGGTGGAGGTGTTGACAGGAGGAGGGGTGCGGGGCTTGGGCTTGACCTCTGGGGGCACACGCAAGGGTTTGGGCTTCGGGGCCTCCTCTTCACCCTCCTATAGCCAAAACAACCAGCCGAGTGTGACCGACCCTCACCCTCCATTATGTCTTTCAAATCAACAAAAGCAGCAGAATCTCTACCGTGACTTCCCGTCATTATTATTCACAAAAACAAGGACACAATATGAAGCGCACGGCACACCCAGGCAAAATATAGCACAATGAAATTTCTACACGTAGTAGGTACACTGTATGATAGATGTATTGTTTTCAAATAATAGTAATGACAATTGTCATGTTGTCTGGGAATGCGGCTCAGCAAGGCCTAAGTCACATGAATAATGGTGTGTGATCTTAATTAGAAGAAGCTGAAAAAGCACGACTCAAGCACCTGTGCGCTGGTGGACTCTTTCCGGGTGGAGTAGATCACCTCTCCTGAACGTCCAGTGGTGAGTCCAGTTCCAGAGGGGTAGAATCTGCGTGGAGGGGGAGGGGGAGGCGATTTGCTGGCCGTTTCAGGGTTGGGCTGTACTCTGTCAACACTGGCCCTGTGGGGCTTCTCTATGGTCGGCTTCTGTGGCCTCTCCAAACTGGTCTGGACTGGTTTATCTGCTTTGGGTCCATCCTGTGGTGCGGCTTCTGTTTGAAGTTAGATAAAGAGTGCCTCGATATTAAATCCTCCAGAGGTTAGATCTGAACCAACTAATCTGGGATTATTAATAAAACAACAACAAGGCATACTGTAATATAAAAAAAAAAACGTGATCAAACCAGCATGCAGAAAAAACATAAAACAGGAAATGATAGAAAGAACCCCTGCAGCCTTTAATGACTGTGTCAAGGCTTCTAAAATATTAAATAATTTCATATAATAAAAATATCATAATAGTTCAGGTTGTAATGTAGTATGACCCCAAAACTTAAAAATATTTAACTTAAAAAGCGTATTTATTTTTGCAAAGCATGAGTTTTTTTTTTACTTTTACAGGTATGCGAACTCATCAGGGGTGAAAAAGCTGACAAAGACATGACCCCGCATCCCAGTGGCTTTCTTTTACTCGGTCTCAAGGCCACATTCACCCTGTTGTTGTTGGTTTTTTGGTACCCATTCAGTGTGACTATACAATAATATTACATTATAAAAATTAAATAAACCAATAAAGAAATATATTACTATAACATTAATAGAATTCCGTTTTAAAATAAAAAAGTCCAGTATTTAATAATAATAATATACATTTATTTTACAGAACAACAGTAAAAACAATGCTAATAATATTAATGGCTGTTTTAACTCTCAAATGTTAAACCATAGAGCTATTATTTTTGCAGAAACACAACACGAACCACACAAAAAACATATTTTGAATTCAAAGCTGTGATTTTTGCTTAAGTTTCAAATTTCATTAAATTCATTCAAAAGTCATTACATTTAAACTTTTCTTGAGCAAGATTTGTTTAAAAACAATAAAAACAAACAAAAAAACATATGAAACCAACTTGAATACAAAGAACACATCTCTGTGCTTTTTATCGTGGACACTCTTATATGTCATTCACCCAGATCCCCATTTAGTGTTATATATGTCCTAAAATCTGAATGAATTGTTTATATGCAGGTTCATATGAGTGGACAGACATACCAGGGTGTGGAGACACAGGAAGTGGAGAGTCCACCTCATCTGGCAAGATGCTGGGTGGTTGGGAGGGGGCACTGTCCACCTGTTTGCTCACTTCCAGGTCAGGTATGGCCTTCATAAGGCTGGCCTGAGTCTGCTGAAGGATCCTTTCCATGACCTTTTCCGCTTGTAGTCCAGTAGAGTGAAACTTGTCCTCCTCTACTGCCTGTTTTGAAACCTGTGAAGAACCAGACAGAAGTTAGTTTGTTGGAAACAATTACTGGGTCACATTTACTATTGTTCAGCAAGTAATTTCAATAGGAATCGGCACAATTGGGGAGTTTCGTGTGAGGGCGAAAAAGTTCTTCATGCAGATTTTGCTACTTTTCAGAATAGTCACTTGATGCTAACCAACAGAAAGCTATATTGTTTAAAAGTGAGTTTTGTGTGAAAGAAAACTGAACTTTTCTTGTCAGCAAAATGTGCTAATTTAAGTATATTTAAGAGAAAATGTATCTATCTTTGTCAGCTAAATTTTGCTAATATAGTCTATATATTAATATTTAGTAATAGCGTATTTAGAGGAAGTTCCTTGGACTCTTAAAAATAAAGATTCCAAAAAGGGGATATTTGCAGTGATGCCATAGAAGAACCATTTTTGATATTCAGTGAACAGTTCTTAAAAGAACCATTTTTCGAACCTTTTGTGTAATGGAAAGGTTTCATGAATGTTCTTCATGGAACCATCCATGCCAATAAATAACATTTATTTTTAAGAGTGTGCAGATAAACAGAGAGTTACAGAAATAAGACATCCTTGTGTTGATGCCAATCCATGAATCTTAATCAATCAAAAGTGAAAGTCACAGTTGAACCACACCTCTTCAGGCATGGGCCTGCTTGTGTTGACAGAGATCTCCTCTGGTGAGGAGGATTCAGTCGTGCTGATGGCAGCGGTTGCTGGCACAGCTTCCCGGCCCTGCGGAGCTGCTCTCTTTTGCAGGGCAGGGCTGTTTTCTCTGCTCCTGGGACTGACCTTCGCCACAGTGGGGGAGTCCCTGCCATGGGTGGGTGTGAGCGGGGGACTAGGGTGGTGTGTGCTGATGGGAGCCGTCTGAATGTGGTGCACAGTGACTGGAGAAGAGGGCACGGGCTCCGAGCAGCTGACTTTGGCAGGTGATCTTGGTTGTGGGGTGGGGGACTCACAAACAGGTTTTGGAGATCTGTACTCTTTCACAAAGGAAACTGAATCAGCTGGTAACGCCTTCACTTGGACTGGGTCAGAAGTATGGTTGTGGCTTTCAGTGGCGTATCTACAACAAACAGAAACCCTAACAATGAACCTGCCAAAGCTTGAAAGGAATTTAATATTTCAAATGGTACATGAGTTTTACCTTCTCAGTCCACTGAGAGTGTCAGTCAGAGCTTTGACTCTCTTTAGCATGCTGTCCATTTTGTGAGGCTCCTCCTTAAGGAAGCGCACCGCCTCCACCTCCACCCTCAACACGGCACGCATTTTCATCTGCAGGGCTGGGAAATCTCCTGAAAAGACATTCATTATTATACAAGAGAAAGATCTACACTTAATACCTTGCTGAATAAAAGTATCTTTCAAAAAAAAAAGAAAAAAACTAACCCTAAACTTTTGAATGGTAGTGTGTATAATAATTAATAAATGATTATATAAGTCCACAGGGAGGATAAATACAAATGCAATCACCTTTGAGTGTAGCCAAAGCTTCTCCTACTTTCCGTAAGTTGACCGCCCCTTCCTCCACATCCTTCAGAGTGACTGGTCGATTGCTCATGGCACAGGTGGATTCTTTCTTGAGCATCTCCACATAGTTTTCCAGCTCTCTGTGACATTGTTACAAGGATGTGTCATTTATTGTCACTTTAATGCTATATAACAAGTATTTTTCTTTGCTTTTTTTACTAAAGCTGCATTTACTCTACAAAACCTGTTTAACGTGATTTAGTCTTGTTTGTTGACTGACAGTTCACATACAGAGAAGTTTGGCTGTGTAAGCAAATTTGGCAACAAAAGTCTGCCCTCAGCCAAATACTTTCAGAAGATCATCATAACCTATGTCTTTCTCAGATTTTCTGACTTCATTCGTCTTGAAATGGTTACGATGTGTGAATTGTTGAAGCTGGTCATCATGAGTAGTACCTGCATATAACAGGCTTTAGCAGGGCCAGCCATGCAGGAATCTGCAAGCCAGTACACATGCTCTGAGATCATCCCTGTGGGAAATGGTTTGTGTTTTGTGTAATTTACCTGAGGGGTGTCTTAAGGGTTTTCCCATGCATAATGTCAAGTCCTGCTTTTTGTTATCATTCTCACCATAGCATAATCTAACGCAAGGCAGTAACTACATTTCTGGGTTGTTATTATTTCTTTGAACTGATATCTGTTGGTCACTGGAATAAAATGCTTCGTATATTTAATGCAGTGTAATTTTAGTATTATTTATTTACTAATACAGTATTTTTTTTTTTTAGCTTTAATTTTAATAAGTGTTAGTAATTTTGTTGTGTGCCTGTCATTATTATAATTATTTAAATATTTATATTTAGCTTTCATCTATTATTTAATTTCAGTTGGGTGCTAAAGCAACATTCTTAATTTTCATTCAAGTTTTTTAGTTAACCTTTTTTTCAGTTAACATATATGCTTTTAATAGGATAAGATTGCTGGTAATCAAACAGTTGGTGGTTGCCATTGACTTCCATAGTCAAAAAAATACTATGGAAGTCAATGGCAACCACCAACTGTTTGATTACCAGCAATCTTCAAAATATCTTCTTTTGTGTTCAACATAAGAAAGCAACTCATACAGGTTTGGAACGACATGAGGGTGAGTAAATGAGGACAGAATTTTCTACTATCCCTTAGTACTAGAACTTAGAACTATCCCTTTAAGTGATTTTCTTGCTTTTTTTCTAGTGATACTTTATAGCGTTTTAGTTTTCGTTAACAACTGAATAGCAACACTGGTTTCATTCACATTGTGACTAAACACAGATTAATTTCTGAAGCAATCTGACTTATATTTCCCCTTCAGGATAGCACACATTCATCGTGACAGGAAACACGTAGAACCTTTCACAAGCCTTATTCTTTTGAGACAGGTTGGGACAGTGGATTATTCACTGCGTTGTTTCATGCAATCGCACACATCTCCACCCAATGAAGGTATGACTAGTTTTACTTAATCGAGGTTTACATCAGCAAATGGGTTTTAGAAAAATACTCAATATAGCACTAACAATGTAAAAATCCCCTCTGTTCACATCTATTAAAAACCTACACTGAACTTTGTTTATTAAAGTGTGCATTCAGCATTGACTGGAGACATGGTATTATAATTAATTAGTACAGGGGATCAGGGAGAATTCAGCTTTGATTAGACGTGAGCACTTAATCAGCATCAAATCTGGCTCGTTTGCAGCAGCTAATCAGTGCACTGATTTTCCCCTCTAGATCGCAGCATTTGTTCTGTTCGTCTACAGCTGTCTCTCACATTCTACAGATGACCAGTTCATATGAATTCTTCATGGGTAATTAACAGGGTCTTAACAGGATCAGGAGTCACATAAAAAATTATGTTGTCCTATTGTCTTACCCGAGCTGTACGAGAACCCTCTCCTCCATGCCCAGATATCCGTGTCTGTCTTCTTCCACCTGGACTCGTTGTCTTCGAACGGGGTCCTCAAGGTGCAGCACAATGTCTGAAAACCTCTCCGAGATCTCCTGCTCTGCCTGTCGCAGCATCTGCCTCATGACATCCTGGTTTTGCAGCTGTATATGCAAGGCAAAACTCTATCAGCACACTTGTTTTCTGACCAACTGTTCATTATAACTCATGTGTATATTATAACGCTACATCACATTACTATAATTATATATTATGTGTTTGTGTGTTTATATACTACCATTCAAATGTTTGGGTAAGAGTTTTTAATGTTTTTTTTTTTTAAATCTCTTATGTGCAACAATTCTGTATTTATTTGATAAAAAAATACTGTAAAGAGTAATACTGTGAAGTATAATTATAATATAAAATAACTGTTTCCTATTTTAATACATTTTAAAATGTATATAAGTTGCTATAAGTTTGATTGCATCATATAATAATTGCTGTTAATAGTGTTCATCGTCTGTTTGATTACGTCTTTAATTGATTTTTCTGTACATTTCTGCCATATGTACATTAACTGACAGTCACCACTGATAAGCTACCACTAAATATTGTAGAAACTTAATTTGCTGTAAAGTTGCTTTGCAACGATTTGCATTGTGAAAAGCGCTATACAAATAAACTTGAATTAAATTAAAATGTAATCTATTCCTGTGATGACAAAGCTGAATTTCGAGTCTTACTCCTGTCTTCAGTGTCACATGATCCTTAAAAAATCATTCTAATTTGCTGATTTGGTGCTCAAGAAACATTTTTCATTATTAGCAATGTTTAGTATTATCAGTGAAAACAGCGACTATTCTTTTCGGGGGTTTTTGATGAATAGAAAATTCAAAAGAACAGTATTTACTTGAAACTGAATTTTTAGTAATAAAAAATTACTTTACTTTGATCAATTTAATGGATCGTTGATCCTTTTTCTTTTCTTCTTCTTTATAAATCTTACTGACCCCAAACTTTTGAATAGTAGTGTATTATTTAGAAATGAAATATGTGAAGCTGGTTGCTTCACTACTAAATTATTGCATAACTACTGCAAAATACTGTTTTGATCGATGGCATTAATAATATTATAACACATTATAATATTGTAGGACAAGCATTTAAAAAGATCAGATGTCCTGGACAGAACCTCATTTCAATTTGAATTTCACATGTACCTGCATCTGTTTGAGTTGATGGAGCTGCAGTCTGAGGTCAGAGACGTTTCTCCCGAAGGTGGAGAGGATTGAGCATATAGCAGGGTTTCTGACAGGAGGCTGAACCTGTGCTGAAACACTGTCTGTCTGCACAACTGGGTCTTTAGTTACAAAAACACCAATTTATGAAGTTATTGCTCTGGTAACAACACAAATATGATTAAATTAAGATTAAATTCAGATCCATGATTCACAGGAGCAAGAAGGAATGATAAAGGAAGCATCATTATAATCAATAACTGAACGTTTACTGACCACCATTCTGTGCCAAAGACTCCATCTTTACCGGTTTCTCACTATAGAGAAAGACAAAACAGTAAGTCTTCATTTTAAAGTTTTCATTATACTGTTTTTATCTTCACATTATAATAATACAATTTAGATTCATGCTATTTATGAATCACATTAAATGTTTCTGTGAACATCCACCTGGAAGTCTCTTTGGCACTTGTATTTGGCCCTTTCATAAGAGCGTGTTGAACGAGTCCAGTAAGACTGGCTATCTGCTGCTCCATTGCCTTTATTCTTTTACTGCAAAACAAAGGTCACATGACTCACTTCAACAAAGAAAGAATTCCATAAATGATCACATACTATTCAACTGTGGATCTAAGGAGTATCAAACAATGCTAAAGGGGGGACCAGCAAATGATATTGCCTTACTCTGTTCCTGAGGGCAAAACTGTGATGTACTTTGATATTCAAGGCATGGCAGTATATATATAAATTTTGGCCTTTGCCCAGAGGAACTCTTGCCTTTTTCTCAGTTACACAACATGACTATTCTGTTATTTTCCCCATCAGCCCTTGATTACTCATGCTCTATTTGAACAAATAACAACATCAGTAGTATTATCACCGTATCCTTGTTTTAATATAATAGAAAAGAATAGAATATACACATGAGCACCATGTGTCTGAAACACATTTTGTGTTATCTCACAACACAATAAGCTGCAGGGAATTTAAAAAGTCTCACCTCTGAGGATCTCCGGCTGCCACGTGTCCTTGAAATGGCCTCTCTCCGTGACTGGGCTGAAGGTCGGCGAAAACAGGGGAGGCCACATTGCCTTTCACCCTGGTCGCCACCTCCACGGCCCCATTACTGTCCTTGCGGAAAGATCTATGCACAGGTGATGCTCTTTCCGCTGCCACACCTTGTGAGGGCATGTGGGAGTTCTGGCCTGGGAGCATGTCACTCATTCTGACCTCATTGACCCTGTGAGGAGAAGCAGGCGGTGTTTTGGAGCCCATGGAGGCGAGCTGACTCTCACTGTACTTGCGAGATTTCTGTCTGTAGAGGGAGTGCTGCAGATCCTGGCCATCTGCGTACGCACTGACAGACTTGACGGAGGAGCGGTGCTGGATGTACGCCGCCCCATCCGGGACGTCTCCAGTATGGCTGCCTTGTGATGAGGAGACGCTGAGCCTGGCTTCAGGTGAACCGTACGCTTCTGAATACAAAGGAGCGCTCTTGCTGCACAGATCCTCATCCGGTTTCACGTCCCGTCGCTCCAGGATGGCACTGGAGCAGGGGGTGATAGAGCGACTTGGGGGTGCGTTGGACATACGGTCCCTGGGTAAGGTGGCACCACCAGGCATGGCAACAGAGAGGCTGAAAGGGATCCTAGAAGGAGAGGAGGGCATGGAGCGAGGTGTAGGAGGAGACATAGAGCCCTGGACTGAATGTATGGGACTGTGAGGCAGAGTGTGCACTGGGCTTTGGCCTCCCGGCAGCTGTCTGCCACTGTAGAGCCTCTCTCTTGTGATCTAGGGATATAACGAAAAAGCATATCAGAGAGAATTTGGGTAAAAAAAAAGGTGGTAAAACTTTACTTAAAGCTTTTGTGTATAATGCATTATAAAGGGTTATTAAATGCATTATAATACATTATAAATATTCATAACGTGCGTTGTAATACAGTACATTACATCTTGTAATCAATAATCATAACCGAATTTAAAATGCATTGTGTAACAATGAATTGATAAGTATTATAATGCATAATTAATGCATTAAAACTAGTTTTATAATGCAATATAAATAAATGCTTTAAGTAATATGTTACGAAACGGTTTTCGGAGGTTATGTAACATTTGTAACAAGGAAAAAGTGTAAAATAATGGTTATCGACTGGTTTGCTACATCAAGTGGCAACCAGAAAGTACCAATAAAAATGTCCTTAAAATCAAACAATAAAATTTATTATTATTTAATACTAAAATAAATATAAATTTCACAATTATTTATTCATTTGTGTTTTTAATTCCTTTTTAACATGTATAGTGATGCACCAAATGTTTTTTTTTTTTTACTAAAACCAAAATAAAAGTTTTCATTTAGCTGAAAATTTAAATTAAATTTGAGCAGTTGGGTAACTGATGTTCAGGGTGTCATTTTCTCAGTTGATAAATAAAACCATTCATGGGGATGTTCTTCGGCAATTAACCGTCTCTCGACATTTCAGCCAAACAGTTTTTATATATTGCTACTCTTGCATAATTTTTGGTCATGATAAAGTGCATTCACACTGCTGACATGTTTACCTGTTGGAGCTTATCCATGTTTTGTGCACAAAATAGACACTGACATGCTCAAAATGTCCTTGGAAAAGTGCTAATTAAATGTCAATTAAAAATTCTAATATTATCGTTTTCTGAAATGTTGATGCATGACTAATTTATTCACTGACTGCATAAAAGACATCAAGGTTGGCGCTTTTTTATCTTTTAATTTTATCTTAGATTTGTACTGTTGCTCATGGCTTTTGCTCCGTTTTTGGAATCAGTCTAGTTTGGCTAGTTTCAACCAAGTGACATATATCTGTGCCAGTTTAACTGTTCCCACAACCTTTGATGCCAGTAACAACTGTATAGAAAACATTTTCCCCTCCCTTTTAAAAAGCTGATAAGCTATGCATTTTGCTAGTACACACATAATGTGCAAGATTATATGGTTAATTGCATTCTATTATTTAGTTTGCAGTGTTTTGTTGTTTCCTCTGGCTGTCCATGACCATGTTATTCAGAACGCCATTCACCAGTTAAAAACTGCTGGTAAACAACTCTCAAAGAAAGTCAATGGATATGAAAAGGACCTTTGAATTTAATGAAAGGAGCTTTTTATTACATATTTGTCACCAAAATGATTAATCTTAGAAGTTTTCAAAGCAGGAAACTAAAAACAAAAATTGTATTGTATGACTGTGCTGATATGATTTGTTTAGACAAGTGCACAGATATGAACAAAAGATGGAACCAGTGCAAAAGCACAGACAATAGCCCTGCCCAGACCTGTCTTTGTACAGAGCTCATGCTTAAGAGTGCAGTAATAAAGCCCACAGACAGAGCGTGCGTGCATGTGAATTATCCGCCATTCACAGCACCAACACCCTCTGCATTGACCTAAAGATGAACAACAAACCAACAAAACAAGGTTCTCCAAACCTGTTCTTATAACCTCAGGTCTAGTTTCAGACCACATTAATAAGACGAACCAAGAAAATTATAATTGCTCTTAATGTATCTGGTTGATGACTTGGCTGAATGCTTATATCCTGAAAACTGTATCAAATGAATGACAAGACAATACAAGCTGCTTCAATAAAATGCCTAAGAGTTAAGTCTGTCTGTCATTGCTTCTTAAAGATTTCTTTTAAGAAGTTTGCTGTTAGAAATAGACCAAGTTCTCCCGAAGAACAACCCAAACTGAGTCAGGCATGTTTAAACAGGTGCAGCCATCGTTTCATTATTGTATTATCTAAGCTCAAAATAGGTGTCTTCTTTCAATGGGTACATAACGACCTCCATAAAACTAGCTTAATATTTGTCATGCGACCACAAGAAACCAAATGTACTACAAACATGCATGTTTAAACGCAAAAGTCTAGGACCTTTAATTTGCCACAAGTCAGAAGTGATGCAAAGCACCTGGGAAAGCGAATTCACAGAGCACCACTGTACATGGGTCTATAAATTATGTGTATGAAGGACAAGCTTCAACTTTCAAAAGATTTACAGCGTTGATAAACAGCTAAAATGAAAGGCCAATATATCATCAGGCCCAAACATTAGAGAAAATGGGTCCATTTGTGCAATCCTTCAAAATAAGTGCATTACATCAACAAACGTGTCTGTGCGTGTTTGCTTTCTCAAACTCTCAGAGGACTTGTTTTACACATCCATTTGTTTTTCTAGTTCCTATCATCCCACTAATCTAAAATTTGGTTTAGGTGGGAAAAGGGTTTCCAAATACCACAACACGTGGGCAGAGCGCAGTGTTTTTGCACAGACCATTGTCCCATGAACTCAAATTGACACATGCAAACACACTAAAAGAGGAATGGCAGGTTGACGATTCCAGCTGTGAAGGACAGAAAAATGGAATATGTGTATAGGCACTTCCTTCTGTGAATGAGTTGGTCAACTTGTCAGTGATTAGTGAGGTTGACTAGTTTAGATGTTTTTTAGTTTTAATATATTTAGTGGCGGTGCATGAAACCCCAGACTACTTTTTCTGAGATTTTAGCAGAGGTGTTTGTGTTGCACATCATAGAAGACAATGTTAGCATCCAATAATTTTAACTATTGGAGAAAAGTGGTTAATTTTAAGCTTTTTTGCGCTATTTTCATCTTCCGGGTTTAAAATCTACATCGTGTTGACATCACAATTTGTGACGAGGCAAAGGACTATAGTACATCGATGACACGTCGGTGTATATTCAATTATTCATGAGACTGCGTGTTCTTATCCTATGAGAAGACGCTTCGCTCAATTATTCACAACAGCATGTCAAAAGGCTTATATAATCGCCGCAGATTAAGCCTTAAAAATTATCAGAGGGGCAACAGCACGTTGATGTATATGTTTTCGATACAGAGTGCAAATGGCTGTGCATTTATTTGTGTTTTGAACTCGATGGGAGTGAAATGAAACTGTCTGAACCCGAAGCTGTGTGTGTTGTTGGTCTCCCCTCTTCCCCCTCCACTCACAGCGCACCACGCCCACTTTTTTTTAGCATTTTTTAAAACTGTGGTGAGAACTAACCAGTGCTGAAACAGGGGGTTTCATGACCCTTTAAAGGGACTAAATTTGGAAATCCATCATTTTGCAGATTTTGTTTTAGCTTTAGTGTGCAAGCTGTAACTGTCATAATGCTAAAACCCTCTGTGAAATAGGTTTATAAATTCATCCCCTTTAAACTATTGCTGCTCCAGCCAACAGTGCATTATAAAACAAATTCATTAAATGTAATGCATTTCTATTCAATTTCAAATCACCTTCCGTGAACAATGTTCCTGTTATTATGCCTCGGGGTTCCACACTTTTGGACGCTAAACTCTCAAAGAGATTGAATAATGTAGAGCTAAATAAATGTGCTACAGAACTTTTAATGACATTTTAAAGATTTCAGCAATTTTCCACCCCTTAAAAATCTAAATTTTTAAAATGCCCTGATATTTCCATGTTTTTCATGAATGTGGTAACCCTGTATAAACAACTATGAAAGTTATGGTTATTTTGCCCTTTTTTTGTAGAATATCTATCCATCTACTTTAGTATTATTTATATACTATTTATAGTGTTAAATAATATTTTGAAATAGCTTTTATTTTCATATTTTCAGCTTTAATTTTAAAGTTAAATTAAATATAAAATTTCCCATTATATATTTTTTTAGCTTTTAATATTTCTACTTAGATTTTATTTATAACAGATCTAGTAAGTTTAAAGTAATTTTAGTACTTTATGCATTTTAAGTCAGTTATTAGGCAGCTAGGCAACATTTTTTCATTTTCATTTTCATTTCAAGTTTAAATTTAAAAAGTTTATTAACATTTTTGTCTAATATGTATATTTTATTTCAGCTTTATTTCAATTAATGACCATTTCTGTAACAATAACAATACGGATATTAATAATCCTACTTAAAAAAAAATGCTTGACTGGAGTCAGGTGGAGATAACCCTGAGCCAGCCAAATTACAGAGGGCTTACTAGTGGACTAGTTGTTCAGACCAACTGCTGATTAGTCAATTTTGCAAATATGCAGTTTTGCCTAGTCTAGACTCATTCTTCTGAACAAACTATGCTCAAGAAAATATTCCAAAAAAATCCAGGTAATTGCACTGGGTTTGAAGTGGGTCTGTTCTATTGATATAGCTGTGTATTCTGTTTTTCGCACTAGATGTTGTTATTGAGAACACATAAGCACAACGCAAGCAGCCTGCTGTTTAGCTAGGCTTATGTGTGTGGTGTGGTGGTGCAGACAGGAGCTGGTCCCTTCTGCACTCTCATTAGAGCTGAGAACTACAAGGTCATACGCATCCGCTGCCGTGCTCTCTTGAGAGCTTGACCTCAGTCCGTCTCCACACCCGGCCCAGGAATTTCAGCCCTGGCTTAGAATTATCCTTTTCCCAATCCTCCATGGCCCGCTGAACTCAAGATATGGATGAGATAGCTGCAGACAGTGCAGTCTTCTCCAGAAGTGCTTATAATTAGATAAAGCAAATTACACCACAGCAGAACAGCTCCTAAATGTGCAACACATCCTGTTAGAGACAGGATGCGATGAGTAAATTTCTGGCCTGAAATGAATATTTTTAAATTTTTTGTATGTACTATTATTATGCATTTCAAAACTGCATCTAGTAGCTACAGTGATATTAAACATGAATAACATTATCCTACTGTACATTTGTAGGTCAATATCATACATTTACATGCATGGATTCATGGAAAGCAGATGGGTTTGATTAGAGTTCTGCACTCTCATTAGAGCTGAGAACTACAAGGTCATACGCATCCGCTGCCGTGCTCTCTTGAGAGCTTGACCTCAGTCCGTCTCCACACCCGGCCCAGGAATTTCAGCCCTGGCTTAGAATTATCCTTTTCCCAATCCTCCATGGCCCGCTGAACTCAAGATATGGATGAGATAGCTGGAGACAGTGCAGTCTTCTCCAGAAGTGCTTATAATTAGATAAAGCAAATTACACCACAGCAGAACAGCTCCTAAATGTGCAACACATCCTGTTAGAGACAGGATGCGATGAGTAAATTTCTGGCCTGAAATGAATATTTTTAAATTTTTTGTATGTACTATTATTATGCATTTCAAAACTGCATCTAGTAGCTACAGTGATATTAAACATGAATAACATTATCCTACTGTACATTTGTAGGTCAATATCATACATTTACATGCATGGATTCATGGAAAGCAGATGGGTTTGATTAGAGTTCAAATCAATTCAAATCAAATTCCATTTGTTGCATAATGAGATAAGGAACAGGCATTGTTTGGCTTTTTAAAATGTATTTAAAGCTTCATTGGTCTCCAGAGACACTGTCATAATTCTGCATTATCTACATTCCTGAATGAATGAATGAATGAATGATGCATTTATATAGCGCTTTATTGTGTATTGTTGTACACCCAAAGCGCTTTACAATCATGTGGGGGGGGGTCGCTCCTCAACCACCACCTGATGACAAACAAATCACTTTAACGCAGCGTGGCGAATACTATTGTGCCTTTGACATACAGTAAAGGTCTCAGCAGAGCTGACCTGTTTTGCTAAAGGTGATCGCCCATTATAATTGCGCAACAGTGGGTAGACCAATCAGTGGGGCCCCTGCCAAAATGGATGGGTGTGGCAAGTATTTACTTCAAATTCTGAGCTCTAAAGAAAAGATGCAGAGCCTTAACCGTCAGGGTCCTGCCACCTGTCAACACCAGCTGCAAATAGTGTTGAAAAGCAAAAGAGCTTTTTCGGTTAATGATTTTTGAGTTGAACATGAAGAGTTATAATAATGGGACAGTTCAGTGGTACTGCGGTCACACTCTTGTCACTCACCCTAATTTCTCCATTATTGGCTCTTGCGTTGTGATTGAAGGCCTGGGCTGGGTCTTTGTGATACACTTTCAGACAAGAGTGTGATGTGATGTTCCTGCAAAGAAAACATATTTTTATATATGTATTCTGCTGCTTAATATTTTTGTGATTTTTTTGATGAATAGTAAATTCAGAAGAACAGCATTTAAGTGAAATACAATTGTTGGCGCATTTAAATATTCATTGTCACTTCTGATAAATGTAATCAATCCCTGCAAAATAAAATGGTTAATTTCTTTCAAAAAATTAAATAAAATATTTATATATTGACCCCAAACATTTGAATGTTGGTGTATATAATTTTTCTTGATGTGAAGTCCAAAATGTTGTAGTGTAAATAACACTTGAAAATTCAAGTTCAATGAGGCTGAAAAGAGCGTTACTACAATGAGCTGCAGCTCACAGCGACACAAAGGTTAGAAGCGTGTCAACACAAGCTTCTTCCTCATAACTATAACGCTTGTTAAAAAACCAAGCCCATCCTGTGCCGAATAACACAAACACACACACACACACACACACACACACACACACAAACACACACACACACAGAAAAACAGATTGATCATGCTCTCTTTCTATTCCTGCTAGGAAGCCGCAGGCCAACGAAGAGTAGGGTGTGGAAAAGGGAGTCACCCAACAGTTTGAACGCACTTAAAATCAAGCACTGCCTGCAATTTTCTGTACTTAAATCCAAGCACACAGTAAAAGAGAAAGGCTGTGATATTTTTGCAACTTTAGATAGTCTGTAATGTTGCTGTTTGAGCATAAAAAAGATCTGCAAAATTACAAAGCTCAATTTTTATTTTTTTATTTTATTTAACAGAAATCACTTTTCAAAAACTACAACGAACGACTCGTTTGGACTACAACGCATATTCTCCAGGATTTGTGATATCACAAATATCGACGAATAGGACGAGACCTGGTTGAGCTGCACTAGAGAAGGCAACGAGTGCTATCATCACTATGTCTGAGACACTCTAGCTTTCCCAAGGCAGACGAACTTAGAGTGGTTACAATGAATACAATATTTACACTGAAGATCGCTATGGTAAGGAGCATGACATTTCCCGACCAGCCGCCAAGTGCTGCCAATCACAACACACACTGGCCCAGCTAACCAATCACCGCACATTTCGTATTTCAGAAAGCGGGCCTTCATTTGATACAGGAACTATTCGAGCCGTTCATGCCAGACTGGGGAGAGAGGTGTTGTAATAATGTAAAATATGTGAAAAATTATGTGTTCTTCAAACAACCTAGTATGAGAGCCTGTCCCAGTACACCCCCAAAACAAAATCAAGACTTTGTAAAAGAGCATAATAGGACCCTTTAACAAATATTTTGTACATTTTATGTTAGACTTTTTAAATTCATGATATAATTCACACACACACACACACAAAAAGTCTGACAATGACAAGAGACACACACCTGACATCAGTCAGCTCATAGTACATATTCCTCATGTCATCTTTGATGTATATAGCCACGCTGGGGGACTCCAGTGTCTTCATAGTGAGGTGAGGGAAGACACTGACAAACAGAGCCTTGATGGTGTCTGCACCAGTCACCTCATTGGGCATTCGGATCTGTTTGGTCTCTTCTCCATACTGCAGGTAGAGGACACCTAAATATAAAGCAAATATAAGAGATTAATACTAGCACAATGTGTAAAACATAAGATTTCTGCAGTACTTTGGAGATTAATTAAGTATTGAATGACTAAAAGCTGTATAAATATATCTTAAATGCATACAGTAGAGCATATAGGCTTACAAGGGTACCAGTGGTAAATGGTGACAACTGCATTCTGTCCCAGACCCTCCATTAAATGATTCTCTTGAGACAGCCCAAATGGGGTCTGGGAAGAATGCGGTGTAAGCATTTTCCTGCCATATAACTTGAGATATTTGGAGCAAAATGTAAAATTTGCTCTCTAGCTGTAACATAAACCAGATGTTTAAACGTATGAACAGATATAGAGGTTTTATTACAAATAAAGTATATCTGCATTAATAAATTTAGCAATTAAAGTGAAAGAATGCACAGTTTTTGCACATTCACCCCAAGAACGTTTCCAAAAAGTGAAATGTCTAAAAGTTTATTTGGAACAGTTGTATGCATGCATTTATATATAATTTGTGTACTACACTGGTATCTACTATTCATGAAATTCTTGCTTTGTGAAAAAAAAAACACTGCAAAAGGCCAAATAGCAAAGAATTTAGAAATGGCGTCAACATTTGGTCTGACATGCCCAAAGGTTGGTACTTTCTCACAACGTGTTAGAATTTATATTACACACTGTTTAACTAATTTTTAATTGTAATATTCAAATATTGTGTTTAAAATGACATCAAGGATATATTGATCATCCCTTTAAATGTGCTTCAAAATTCTCTTAATTATCTGACTAACACCAACCCTGCCTTCATTTTGACAAACTTGATTTGTAACCTCATTAATATTATTTCAAAATAATATTGACAATAATGTGAGAAAGACAAATAAATCAAATTCACACCCACAAGTTTAAAACTCAAAAACAGCGAGTCAGTACTTTACCTAATGACCTGTCCTTGGCCTGGTTATTTGACTTGACCACGGGGAGGCTCGCTCGGGAGCGGCTGCCTCGGGTGAAGGCGGAGGGGGCTTCTCCCTCCGACATGGCCTCCAAAGACTCAAGGAAAGCCAAAGAGAGATGCTCCCCCGGCTCCCCTACAGCAGACTGAGGGGTTACACTGTGTCCAGAACTCCTGATCTACAAGACAACACAAAATGATCAAAGAAGAGGTTAAACAGATCATTCAGAACCAGAATCTAACATCAAGCACTTCACAAAAGACAGTATTTTTGTCTGAATAATTTGTTAGTTTAGTATTATTTATTGTATTTATTTCTTTGAATAGCTTTAATTTTATATATTTTTAGTTTACATTTTTATTTCAGTTTTAGTAATTTTGTTATGTGCTTTTGCTATTTTCATTAGTTTTTAAATTTTTTATATTTCTTTTTATTTCAGTTTTAGTAATCTTAGTACTTCAACATTCTCGTTTAATTTTTTTATGTTTTTTTTATTTAATATTTACATTTTATTTTATTTCAGCTCTATTTCAATTAATGATTTTAGATTTAGTTTACACACTAAAACACAGCTGGGTAGCATCTGAACTGGTAAACATTTGGAAAATATTTATACATTTATTAACTGTGCATTCTGAATGTCAGGATGTGAGCAGTGTGGTACCGTCATAAACTTGAATGCTCAATAAAAGGCCACAGAAAGGTCAGAGAGGAATTGTAGAGAGATACTAAATAGACAGACACAGCTCTATTCAGTAAACAAACAGTAAAAAAAACAAAAACAAATGTCATTAAAATCTTTCTTTTATTATTCATCCACACTTGCCATTTATGTGCCTAAAAGAGATGAACTAAAAACACAAGTGTGACTACCAAATAAAAAGAAGGTATGGTAGTCATCTGACTCCTTTTCTGTTTCACGACACGTGGAAATAAAATCGTCAACACGTCTTCAAGTCAATTACAGCTCAGTCCTATAATTTAGCTCACATTAAAAAAAGAAAATGGAGTGATTTATCTCCAGTGACACAAAAGCAGTAAATGCACAAAGACCAATTAGTGTGCTCTGGCACAGACATTATCCTTTGTAGACTATTTATATTGAAAGACCAAAGTGCATCTACGTGGTTGTCCTCACAATAACACCTTTTGGGCATATACAGCAGACGATGTATGATGTATATGTTCTCAGAGGATGGGCTTTCACCCCGAGGCTGGAAGTCATTTCTCCCTTCTTGGCAACAGAAAGAAGTGACAAGCAGAAGGCCACAGATACTGAGTCAGACTGCGTCTCATCGTAACGGCAGCATGCACACTGACCAGCTCTGACATGCACGCCTGCCAGATTACCACCCTGCATGACCCCAAGGAACTTAATCCCTCTATACAGAGCTGCTTTGTTTTGGTGACAATGCAATTATGAGGTCAGGACAGAAGCACACAATAACACCTTAGACTCCGCATTTGATGCAGGCATTTCCGAAAGCGTCTCGAAACATATCTGTAAACACCTTTTCAGAACTATATTTAAATCAAACCATTCTTTCGTACGTTTTATGAAGTTTTTGTGCATCCCTACAGATTAGTTTGAGCTCTAAACGTGTTTTGGCCGAACAATGCTCCATTGTGCTAGTCAAAGTATAACTCAGAGACTTTCGATCTGAGGTTTTATGTTATGCAAATCTAAAAATATACGGTTGTACCTTTGGGAGGAACTCTGCTGACAGTAGTCTGTGCAAAAATCTCTATGACATGCTGTATGCAAGTTGATACTAAAGAGAAAGGTCATAACCGGTTCAGCCTAAGGGGTGAATAACACAGAATGTGTTTTTTGAGCTTAAAAAAAAAGAGAAATTGAATTACTTTTTAAAAAAACTTTACTTTTTTTTTTTAAAGTTAAAGAACTTGAGCGAGTCATGAGCGAGATGCTGCAAAAGATGCAATATGTAAATGATCAAAGACATCCGTCTAGCAAATGTTTACATAGAAAATAATGGAAAAGTATGAATGCAAAACGTGTTCCATGTAAACTGTACCTTTAAGTTTGAAAAAGGATTAGAAAAGGGTCTAAAAATGCGAGACACAGAGCAATGGAATAGAGGATAATACAAGAAGGTTGATCTTTTAATTTAAGCAACACGTTTTTAGTGGTGTGTGTACAGTGCAAAACATTGCAATAGATGTGAGACGTAAGTGAATCAGTCAAACACTTCCGTCTAACACGTTTTCAAAGAAAAGCAATGGGAAATCAGATCAGTGGAATACAAAAAAAAAAAACATTCGAAGTCTAGAACGTTTTTGTGCATCCCTACAGATTAGTTTGAGCTCTAAACGTGTTTTGGCCGAACAATGCTCCATTGTGCTAGTCAAAGTATAACTCAGAGACTTTCGATCTGAGGTTTTATGTTATGCAAATCTAAAAATATACGGTTGTACCTTTGGGAGGAACTCTGCTGACAGTAGTCTGTGCAAAAATCTCTATGACATGCTGTATGCAAGTTGATACTAAAGAGAAAGGTCATAACCGGTTCAGCCTAAGGGGTGAATAACACAGAATGTGTTTTTTGAGCTTAAAAAAAAGAGAAATTGAATTACTTTTTAAAAAAACTTTACTTTTTTTTTTTAAAGTTAAAGAACTTGAGCGAGTCATGAGCGAGATGCTGCAAAAGATGCAATATGTAAATGATCAAAGACATCCGTCTAGCAAATGTTTACATAGAAAATAATGGAAAAGTATGAATGCAAAACGTGTTCCATGTAAACTGTACCTTTAAGTTTGAAAAGGATTAGAAAAGGGTCTAAAAATGCGAGACACAGAGCAATGGAATAGAGGATAATACAAGAAGGTTGATCTTTTAATTTAAGCAACACGTTTTTAGTGGTGTGTGTACAGTGCAAAACATTGCAATAGATGTGAGACGTAAGTGAATCAGTCAAACACTTCCGTCTAACACGTTTTCAAAGAAAAGCAATGGGAAATCAGATCAGTGGAATGCAAAAAAAAAAACATTCGAAGTCTAGAAACGCATTTTTTAAAAAGTTGACATTTTAACTTGAGAGCCATGTTTTTAGAACGCTGTATTATGCACAAGATATCGCAAATAATGTGAGCACAATGGTCAAAGACATCCATCAATGCATGTTTTTATAGAAAAATAATGAAAAAGCAGTGCTGTGGAATGCAACATGTGAGACACTGGGAAATTGAATTGTTCGTCATCGTCTGTTTGATTACGTAATTAACTGAATTTTACCGTACATTTCTGCCATATGTACATCAATTTGACATAGTCACCACTGACAAGCTACTACTAAATATATTGTAGAAACTTAATTTCCTGTAAAGCTGCTTTGCAACTATTTGTATCGTGAAAAGCGCTATACAAATAAACTTGAATTTAATTGAATTGTAATTCAACTTGGGTACCACATTTTTAGAACATCATGTCATGAGCGAGACTGCAAAAGGCACAAGACGCAAACCCAATGGTCAAAGACATCTATCTAGAGCATCTTTACATACAAAAACAATCGAAAAGCAGCGCAGTGGAATGCAAAAACGCATTTTTGTGTGAACGGCTCTTAAGAATCCAAGAGGTCAACTTCAGCTTCACTTTTTGCTTATGTTACAGCTGCACTAACACCAGATTCACCACATCTTCATATCCCTACACTTAATTTATTCTTAGGGAATTCACAAATTGTTTTCTATGGCTTTGATGGAGGTGGCTGAACTTGCCCATTATGCAGGCAATACCAGAAACCTCAAAAACTATGTTGACTGACGGAAAACAGTGCTCTGGCAATTCACTAGGAGGCATATTCAAAAAAATCTTTCATTCTGAAGGTCCAGGCTGAGAATTGAAGGTGATGAATGTGAGTTTGATGTTATCTTTGCACAGGTGTTGCATTGTGAGTAGTCGACTAACAATCACGCCGGTGTGCACAGACGTGACAAGAGAAAATAATAGGCTTTTATGTTCACTTGGAAAAAAAGTGCATCAAACTGTGCCCAGATTAATGGTGCATGACAGCTGGGATCATTTTAGACATGCATAATGCAACTGTAAATTAAACATTTCATTGTGTGGATTAAACAAAATAAATATGATCGCATTCTCAAGATTGCTTAAGGATAACCCTGAAAAAGCAAAACAAGTATAGGCCTAGTCAACAATAGCCGCTGTACTTAACACTCGTTGAAAGTTTTACTCTGATTATCCAGATCCAGATGTCCCAACTGCACCCTGCAGACCAGGGATCAAATTTACACCTATTCCACATGCATAAGCAAGCCGTGCCAACATACGCTCACACTTGGGCATTGTCAGAATGCGTTACCTGCAGAATGCCAGGAAATCAAGAGAGGCCTGAAAACAGCAGTTTAAAGCATAAGGGTGGGCTTCAGGGGAGCAGCTCACACGGTTCACTGCACTCCCCTCTAATCACAGGCAGATGAATGGCCACGGACCATGCTTCATCTGAGCTGGTCTAATGCCAGGTCTTTGAACGCACTGGCAGGGTCAGATAAATCATACCTCATTCTCTCTGGGTCTGGAGAATATTGAAGAAAGAAAAAATGAAAGAGCGAAAGGAGGATAAAAGACACACTCCCTCCTGCTGGATGGGCTTCAGTTTTATTCAGTGCCAGGGGCATGATATGATATTACTCACGGTTGTGTACCCAGCCACAGAATAAAACGTACCAAAACTATGCTGAGAAGAAAAAAAAAAATCAAAGAGACAGACACATTGCATCAAAAGAAACCAGCTATTGGGAGCGCACGTGATACTTCTGAGTTAAAAGAAGAAACACACACACACACACACACACACACACACACACACAAAACCTTACAAAAAGTATACTCTGGCAGTTCACATACAATGGAATCAGATGCTGGTACATGGTACTTTTTACCATGGCATTTGCCTGGTACACCAAGGTACTTTAAAATACAATAATATTACCATGGTAGGCTGCATGTTTTAAAAAAAACATATTACCATAGTTATTTTGGGTACATTGAAATGAATAAGCAATAATTTCTCATAAGCTGATAACTAGCAGAATCTCATAATATGATAAGTCTCATATCGAATCGTTTTGCTTAACTTGAAGTATTTTGATCCAAAAGAGAACCCGTATGACGACTTCTCTGTTTACATCTTCAGTTTACACATCCATTTCTACAAGACAATGCGTTGATTCATTAGCTAAAAAACTCATTTAGTTTAACGGTATTAGGAACGTTAACTATTAAAAAACGCATACAGTATAAGTAAGACAAACATAATTTTCTTTACTCAACGAGTTAAAACAAGCTTACTGTTTACACAGACTGACTTGCTGACACTACAATTGTCATTTTAGTTGAATTTACAATACCTTGATGCAAAACCTCCACCTTGATTCTTCACACTAAGAATGACATATTCCAGATAATAAATAGTAAATGTAAATAGCAAGTCCGGTAGTGTGTCTGATGTAGATCGCCGCAGAAGTTTGTCTGCAGTGAAGTGATCTCTGAAAGCCGTGACACCAGCGTCTGCACAGACACACCCACCTGCATGAACTTACTTGAAAGACTTGTTGGATTAAAAAAAATGTGTTGAAGCCAGGAGGTTGCGAAATGTGCCTTTCCATCACCTTCTTGTTTACTAAAACTTCAATCGAGTTTTCGACATTAAATTAAAAAAAAATACCAGTGAGGATATTTATTGTTAAACAGGCCTATTAAAATATATTACGCAACTCTCTGGAATAATTCTGATTGGTCAATCGCGGTATTATGCGAATAAATGGTAACTGCATGGTAACGTAAATTAAAGTTTTTAGAGAACCTTTCCTACATAGCTGTTTTCTGCAGTATTGTCTACTTGTATACTGATAAAATAAAATATTTCAACTCAAATCAGAAAGTATTAAAAGTTGATTACAATAATAATAATAATAATAATAATAATAATGGTAAATGCGTATAATCCTATCTGTAATTCTTACATTTAAATGTAGTTCTAATCTAGTTCTAAATCTGGAGAACAGGCTAAATGCTGTCGGCAGTAATCGACCAATGGCAACAGCGTTTACAGGTAACGCACTTTATCTTACATTCCGCGTCCCACACTTCAGCTGTATACCTGCTTCCTTTGAAAGCAACTATGAAATACTAGAGCTTTGGATAGCCTATCTGTACGGGAGCGCAGTCATCTGGAGAAGGCATGGTATTCATTCTGTAGTCTACATCTTATGAGTATGTGACATAGCCTAGCTATAATTTCTCCTACTATTTTTTATTTATTTTAGGTGTAGACTTTGTTAAACAATTTATTCACATTTATCTCAATTTTTATTAATTGAATAGTTTATTCAGGCATACATTCAAATAAACCTGCAACAGTCCAAGCCAACGGCACTCAAATTTATGCATCCGGCAAATCAAGCGGAAACTAGCAGCAATAAAAATGTCAGTGTTCCTTAATCTGTCAAGAGTCACTTGATACATGTGTAGAGTAAAGTAACGATGTGATATAGATGAATGGTAACGTGCGGAGAGGGGCTCAACCAACTGTAAAAGTTTTTCTTGCAAGGTTTGGATCAACGGCTTATTGAAATGTCATGTTATGGAATTTAATGGTCTATGATGACAAAATGTATTGATTTACATAGAAAACAATGGATATTTTTTGTGCTGTTATCTTATCTTACCTATACCTATTTTATCATATAAGCCTATGCTTCCATCTGTTTTTGATGTTGCCATTTTGATTTGACTTTTATATTTAAAAACCCAATTTAGCCTAAGCGAAAAAAAAGTCTTTACCAATAGCTATATTTCAGAGCTTACCTGGTCTCGGAGTCTTTCCTGGTGCCCCATAATGACAGAAGCATGATGAGGATACTTCTGTTTCAAATGCTCAAGAAAGGCCTCTTTCTTGTGGTCCATGTTGTAGGACTGCATGACAATCACGTCCCCAGCAGTGCGAAGCCCTCCTACTGTGTGTCTCCTTGGCACGGTGCGAGGGGACCAGGGGTCTGACTGCTCACTCTCATCTGCACTGCTTTGTTTTCTGCTGTGGCTGTCCACATCCTCATGGGAGCACAGCCTCTGGTTGCTTCTCGCTGGCTCTTTGATTAAAGGCATAAAAAAATATACAAAGGAATACAGATTAGATAGGGACACTCAGGGGGCGGCTGTACTTGGCTTGAGACCTGCAATTAATTAGTGTGATAAGCAACACAGTCAAGGCAATGACCGGCCTAGAGTCGGACAGCTGCTGGCCAAGAGAGCAATTACTGAGCAAAGCTACAAACAGGCCATTTGTTTCCCATAAACAGCTTGCACCTTGCCAAACGAGGTCTCAGAGCACTCAGTGTGATGGCTCATTATTAGCTCGGGCTGACTGCATGGCATTGAGGCCCTCCAGTGGGGAGTCAAACCACTGCACAGCATCACGGGGAATTTCTACAAAGCAATGAGTCACAGTTTTATATACTGTACTTTTAGCATTATTACTCATATGCATTGTTGTTATTGTTAACTAAAACTGAGAAAACTGTTAAAAGTCACGGTAACACTTAACAGCATAATGTTTCATAACATTAACTATTAACATGAACAACTAACCATGAACAATAGGCTACCTCTCATTTATTTATATTAGTCAATGATGATTTCAACATTTATCGATTCATTTTTAAAATATATTTGTTATTTGTATTTGTTAACATTAATTAATGCACTGTGAACTAACAACAAACAATGAACAATTATATTTCTACTAACATTAACAAAGATTTAAAAATGCTTTAAATAGGTCATTATTGGTTCATGTTGTTAGCTAATGCATTTACTAATGTTAACAAATGAGATCTTATTATAAAGTGTTACCAAAATCATTACCATATTGGTAGTTGAAATAAAGCTAAAATAAAACTAAATATAAATATTAGATGAAAAGCCTAAACTTGAAAGAAAATTATAAATGTTGTCTTGTCAACAAATAAATAAGTGCAAGTACTATAAATAAAAGTTAAATATAGATATTTAAAAAAATTTTAAAATTGAAATGAATTAAAATGAAAACTAAAACAAAAATAAATGCTAATTCCAAATATTACTAAATACTATGTAATATAACAACACTGTCATATTGTGAATGCATTCAAGAGACATACGTAAAATCAAAAAAACATCTTCACAAGTCTTTAAAAATCATTTTAGATATAATGTATCATACTGTTTGATATATTGCAAGCACTGCACAAATCTCTGTAAAAAGTTCTCTGCAAATAAATTTCCATCTGTGGAACCTGTAGGTTTTGTTCGGGTGAATGTGCCAACATGTTTACTGTAAAGAATTATTGCCTCATTATTGGCTATGACAGACACATTCACATTCCATCATGGGAAGCTAATGAGAGACAAGCAGTAATGCCCCTTAATTTCCTTTCTCATAGTAGGCCTTTCGGAGTCTCAGGCTTCTTGCTAGGGAAAGAGTTTAATGCTTAACCCTCAGGTTGTGTTCAAATACCTATAACACTTGTGGTGTTCCCGGTCAAAAATGACCGGCCTGCAAAAAATAGCTTATAAATCTCTTGTTATGCAATATTATCACCTAATATTGGTATCAATCTTTTTTAAACAAGCTGACAAAAAGATTGATAGATAGACAATACAATAGATTTATAAGCAATTTCTTTTGACCGGGAACACCACAAGTGCAGCAAGGTTGAATAAAATAAAAAATGTTTCATGAAAATTAAAATTTTTTTTAGGTGGAAGTAGTTATGCCTCGTGTGAACAAAGTCAGTAAATCTTAGTCCAATGCGATAACATTAAGTAACATTTTCGGGAGAAAGAAAATTCTCTGCGGGTCAAATTGTCCCGAACACAACGAGGACATCTAAAAAACTTTCATCAGGAGATATTCTGTGGTATGTGGAGGAATTTTCTCATTCTGTACTGTGCTGTCCTCCCATTGTGGATAAGATTCACTGGAAAACATTAGGAGAAAAAGAGAGAAACGTTATGCTCTTTATGCTCTTTCCTGTAGTTTGTAGTGTACAAGTCTGAATATAGGTACTAAGATGATCCATTCACAGACAATATGAGGTTCACAGTATTTGTGCTTTATGTTGGTTTTTCTACAGGCCTGGCCTTTGTCGGACGACTACGGTGTCATCTCAGTGAAAATTTCTTTAGTAACGGTCTGCTGAAGCCCTTTAACTTTTCCTGACCTGAAATATCCCAGACCATTGCTCACTTATAAAAAAAATGGACACTGAAAGAGTTGTTTCCTCACAGAGACAATGTGAAAGAAAAATCACACTGTCAATGGTTCACAGTATTTGTGCTTTATGTTGGTTTTTCTACAGGCCTGGCCTTTGTCGGACGACTACGGTGTCATCTCAGTGAAAATTTCTTTAGTAACGGTCTGCTGAAGCCCTTTAACTTTTCCTGACCTGAAATATCCCAGACCATTGCTCACTTATAAAAAAAAATGGACACTGAAAGAGTTGTTTCCTCACAGAGACAATGTGAAAGAAAAATCACACTGTCAACAAGACTGAAGAGGGTCAGACCGATGAAGATGAAAATGTTTCCAGTTTGCATGCCTTTGCACTTATTCCCCATAAAACATAGCCTATTGCATGAGAGAATATAAATCATTTTTTCTCATTTTTGTGCAGACAGTGTCACACCTTGTGAATGAGGTATGTTGAGATCGAGTGATAACGTACATCTGTACTAGTCTAGATGAAAAATTACGCTTCCCATTTCTGACTAGAAAAGAGATGTTCCTTACATTTTACCACCCAGTTGAGAATAAAAACAAACATGCTTGGTGTGTGTGTGATCAACATCAGGCATCTGGACGGCCCCGAGAGGAAGGCCATGGTTAATGCTGCTGAGTGGTTGTAGATAACTGATGATGGCCAGCTGTTCCTGTTGTGATTATGTATGAATGCCTGCTTTTTGTTGGACTAAACAAACATTCACACTCCTCTGAAAGCTATCATACATACAGATAGATACAGTATACTACTGCAGTTATTCTGAGGAACATGAAGGACATTTGTGTTGTTATGCACATCCTTAGCAACTGTTTTGCAAATAATCTTTGATGTAAGGTTGAGATTTTGTAATACTTTTTTTAAAATGTAGAATTTCTCATGATCTAAGATATACAATGAATATTATAAATAGTGGTTTTGTAAATGTAAAAATATACACTTTATCCATAAAGGCTGGATTTATTTGTGACCACAAAAACCAGTCATATGGGTCAATTTTTTGAAATTGAGATTTACACATCATCTGAAAGCTGATATAAGCGTTCCATTGGTGTATGGTTTGTTTGGATAGGACAATATTTGGCTAAGATACAACTATTGGAAAATCTGGAATCTGAGGGTGCAAAAAATCTAAATATTGAGAAAATCGCCTTTAAAGTTGTCCAAATGAAGTCTTTAGCAATGAATATTACTAATCAAAAATTAAGTTTTGATATATTTACTGTAGGCAATTGACAAAATATCTTCATGAAACATATGCTCTTTACTTAATATCATAATGATTTTTGGCATAAAAGTAAAATCGATCATTTTGACCCATACAATGTATTTTTGGCTATTGCTACAAATATACCCGTGTTACTTATGACTGGTTTTATGGTCCAGGGTCACATTTGATCAAAGATAAAGTAAAAACAGTAATATTGTGAAATATTATTAACATTTTTAAAAAGCTGTTTACTATTTTAATATATTTTAAAATGTAATTTATTCCTCTGATGGCAAAACATAATTTTCAGCAGCCAGTCTTCAGTGTCCTTCAGAAATCATTTTAATATGGTGATTTGGTGCTGAAGAATCACTTCTTATTATTGTAAACGTTGAAAATAGTTGTGCTGCTTAGTTTTTATATGGAAATCGTGATACTTTTTGGCAGGATTCTTTGATGAATGTTCAAAATAACAGTGTTTATTTTGTAACAGAAATGTCTTCAATGAGACTTTTGATCAATGTTTTTTAAATTCCTGGCCCCAAACTTTTGAATGTAAATAAATAAATAAGCAACATAACATAGCATAGCATAGCATAACATAACATAGGGTGACCATACGTCCTCTTTTCCCGGGACATGTCCTCATTTTGGATCTAAAAAATGCATCCGGCCGGGATTTCTTAATCTCCCAAAATGTCCGGGATTTGGCCGTTTTCTTAATCTGGCTCCCACTGAATCTGTGACAATTGCCACCTGCTCCCGCAACATGTGCTTTTCATGTCCACTCCTTTAAACATTCTAATATTGTGTATAATTCTGGCACATCAAGGAGCCACTCTCAGTATGCAGATTATTTAAATCTCTTTTGAATGAGCGTTCGCGCTGGTCCCTTTCACTTTCGACTTCGTGAACACATGCACTCTGTGTAAAGGGTGCACATCTTGCACGATAAGATATTTGTCAATGAGCTCAGGATCTGTTAAGCAGCAAATACTCCAGTATGGTCTTGTCAGTCATCTCTCCTTATTCTTGACCTGTGATCAGTCAAATCTGACTCCTGCAGCTCTTGTTGGATGCAGGGTTGCCAAGTCCGCGTTTTTTTCCCACAGAATTGGGCTACTTTTAAACTGTTGCCATGGGTTGATTTTCCCAAGTGGTTTAAAGGTTTGAAACATTGCATACACTACATTTGACTGAAATGCCTGTATTGAAACATTTTGCATTCAACCTGTGATAAAACTTTCATGGGCTTTTTCATTAACTTCTCACTCCTGGTGGAATGACCTGCCCAACTCAATCCAAGCAGCTGAGTCCTTAATCATTTTCAAGAAACTGCTGAAAATACATATCTTTCATCTTCATTTGACCCACTAACTCTAGTACTCTCTATTCTATTTCTATTCTAACTACTTGTTTTATTTAAAAACGAAAAGAGCCTTTAACACTAGCATTCTCTGTTCTTTCTCTATTCTTTCTACTTATTTTCATTTTATTTATTGTAAAAAAAAAAAAAAAAAAACTTTCTACATATACTGTTAGGCGAAACCCCGCCTCCTGCCCCTGCCCACGAACCCCGCCCCCCACTGTCCTCTTTTTGGAAAATTTAAAATATGGTCAC